GACGTCCTCCCGTAAACAATGCCCCTCCGGGGCTTGGCCTGAGGCGGCTCTTTAGGAGCCTGCTGGCCGGCGTCCGGCCAAGGCTCTCTAATTAAGTGCATGCGGAGCCTACGGCAGCGGAGTGCAACGAGCGAGAAAAAAAACCGGCTTAGACCCTTATAGCATACTTACAGTATAGTATCGTATACTATATTATATCATATTGTGTTATGTATATTATACTAGCACCCCTACAGCCCCTGGAGACCAAAAAGATGTTCAGGACCGCCTCGAGAAGCAGGTCGACGACACTCGCGCCCTCCGTGCCTCGAAGAAAGACTATGTTGTAAGCATAAACAGATGAACAAATGAATCGGCACATGCATGTACGTAAAAATCATATATATATATATATGTGCAGGTGCATATATGTACACACGCATATATATTGAGAGAAACATATGTGTTGGAGGGAAACTCTACCCAGGCACGTATAAGATTAATATCAGGGTTAAATGACGAGATTTAAGATGAAACTACGTTTTTGTAGGGTTTTTTGAGCATCCTTGCTTGCAAGCCTGCCGCAAAAGGGTGTTTTGAAGGCGATACAGGCGCGGCTGCGAAAGGGACTGCTTGAAGGGCTGCATCATGGGTTTCATCAGAGCAAGGGTTTCATCTAGAAGTATTCGTGAGTGTTTGTGGAGCTGCTTGGGGTCATTGGTGTTTGCATAGTTGGGTGTGATGTGATTCTTGCGATGCTGGCAATACACTTAGATCACTTCTCTCCAAATGGTTGAGCACCTGCAGTATCACGCAGGGCAGAGAAAAGGGACAGAAAAGGGCAGAGCAATGTTGCAACGATCCAAACGAATCAAGCAACAAAAGGATGCCAGAGCTATTGCCGAAGTCTCCTACTCCGAAGTATTCATTACATACCCCACCCAACTGTAACGGTTACTGTCGTTGCAATGAATTCGGTTACTATGTGAAGTAAGGATTGAATGGAGAGCGGAGTTTCGACCAGGTAAAACCCCCAAAAAAAAACATGCTATTCAGGTGACAAGAGCGTCCGTGATCGAGACTGCTGGCTGCGTGAACGTGAAACTCTCGTCCAAGACAAGCTGCAGGACGCCGAGTTTCCAGATGCATGTGGCCTTACAGTGACTCAGAGTTACCGTGCAATTACCCTCGGTAGGCTTGGAAAGACGAACTGCTTTCTCTTCTGCATGTGGAAACAAACAACTCCTGAAGCATGAGAACTGACGCTCCACACCATCGTGCTTGCTGCCTGAAGCTTTGAGAAGCTCTTGTCTTTTGTAGCTGGAGATCTGTGAGAAGCTTTAGATTTTCGCTCGGGCTGGTAGTGGTGGAGCGTGGAGCATCGATCGGTGGCAGCATCAACCTTCGTGGCATGTACGGGGAGTCTTTTACCAAACTCGCAGGAGGAGCAGGAAACCATAAGAAACCATTCCTCGTTGTGTTCTGGCTGGTGGGCAGACCTGTGGAAGCAGAAGCCATGCCCGGTCAGCGGCAATGCGTTTGTGTCAGTACGAGTCAGAATTGGGTCATCACCATGTTACTCCTCAAGCGACTTCTTCATTGCCGCCCTGCTCTTCCATGACCGCAGGTGCTGTGCCGTTCGGTCGTCATGTGTCAATGTGTAACCTCGTTCGCATGACGATTATGCATGTCATCCCTTTCGTCGTCCTGACGTCCTGCTGCCAGGAAAAGCGCGACTTGGAAGAGAAAGTCTTCGCGGCTCAGACCCGCAGCAAGAACCTGGAGCATCGTTGTCAGGAGTTGGAGGAGACCCGTTGTAGGACTGGTCTTGGGCCTGGGGCCTCTGAAGTTAATGAGGGGTCCATATAGACTTCGGGGTTCGGCTCAGGGCTTCATGTGTGGGTTTCGGGCAGCAGTTTGAGACCTGTGGGCAGGGTCCCAGGGTCTCGGTGACCGAAAAGCTCATGATTCATGTCTCTGGCCAGGGTTGAGGAGTGCAGGGATGTACGTAAGTACTATAGGATCTCCTAGAATATCCAGGCCTCGATCTACAACAAAAGTGGGTGGCAAGTGTGGTCGTAGCTGAAATAAGCACACAGCGCCGGGACAGATCTGGACGTTTCCTCTCGTGGCTTCCCGTTTGCCAGGAGACGTTGAAGCAAGAGCGCAACAACGAGCAGCTGGTCCACGCCCAGAAGGACCAGCAGCCAGAAGAGGTTAGGCAAGCCTCAAGTTTTAGGTCCTCTCTGACACAGAGCCGGAGTGGAGAAACGGAGTCAGACAGCGCCTTCCGCGATCACTAAGAGGGCAGTTCTCGAAATCAGGGTCCCTGTTTAGGTCCCAAATACATACCTAAAAGGGACCTAAATATACCTAAAAGGGACCTAAATATACCTAAAAGGGACCTATATATACCTAAAAGGGACCTAAATATACCTAAAAGGGACCTATAAAATTTAGAGAACTACCTCCCAATTGAGCCTTGTCTGAAGGACCTGGAGCAGAGGGAGAGCCTCCTGAACAGCCGGAACCAGGAGCTGCAGGCTGGGAGCTAGGATTAGGGTTTGGGGGTTTAGGGCTTTGGGTTTAGGAGTTTAGGTTTAGGGTTTAGGGTTTAGGTCCCTTTTAAGTGAGCCAAAAGTAGGGTTCAGAAGTTTAAGGCGTACCCCTAAACCCTAAACCCTAAACCCTAAACCCTAAACCCCTAAACCCTAAACCCTAAACCCTAAACCCTGAACCCTAAACCCTACAGGCGCGCCTCTTGGAAGCCGAGCGCAACACCGAGGACAGGGCCGGGGCCGAGGGGAACTCAGATGTCCGAGCTAGGGAGGTATATGGGGGTTTCCGAAAATAAGGGGTACCTTATTTTGGGGGTCCTTATAATAAGGATCCTTTTATTTAGGGTACTATATTAGGGTCCCCTATTTTCGGAAACTCCCATCTGGCAATACAGGTTAGGCGAAGGAGCAAGAGAAAAAGGGGTGCTACCGTATGACATACCCCCGAGGAGCTGCAGCGCTTGCGTCTGGAGCTGCAGGTGAACAAGCAGCAACTGGACGAGAAGGAAGCGGACCTGACACAGCAGAAGAACGAGTGGAAGCTGCGTGCTCAGGAGCGGGAGCAGAAGTACCGAAACTGGGAGAGCCAGCGCCAGGAAGTGGAGCAGCAGAACGAGCGCACTGCCAAGGAGCTCCAGTCGATGGTGCAGCAAAGCCAGGAGAAGATCATGGAGGAAGTGCGGAAACGCACAGCCCTGGAAAAAGACCTCCGGCAACTCAATGAGGAAAAGCTACGCATCAACGAAGAAAGGGCAAAGCTCAACCAAGAGAAAGGCCAGCTTGGCGAGCAACAAACCCAATTGCATGAGGAGAAGGCCAAGCTACAGGAGCACATCGAGCAGCAAAAGCTCGAGATCGGCAATCTCCAAAAGCAAGTGACTATGGAGCACAACGAGGTGGTGACGCCTTCTGAGTTGAAGAGAAGGGCTTTGGCGCAGGACTCTGATTTGAGCAAGCGCAATGCCGAGATGATGCACGATGTTGCGGCCTTCGAGCTGGAGATGAAATGGCTGGCGTCCTGCAACCAAGCCCCTTGAGCTGAAAAAAGGCTGTAATAAGGCTTCAGCCATACTGTACAATGATAATAATTATAATCGAGATGTCATTCTCTGCGAATTTCTTCGTCATGCGTGGTGCGGCGACTATCTCTGCTGCTTCTGTCACCTGCTTGATGCGACTAGGCTACGGCTGACTGCTGCTGCTGCTGCTGCCGCTGCTGCTCCTCCTCCTCCTCCTCCTCCTACTACTACCCCCTCCCAACATCTCCCAACTACCCAGGCTGGGCAGTGGCAGCTTCTAGGCTCCCTAACTGTGACATCTGCAGAAAACGCAGAAGCACATGCTCCGTAACATCAGCTGAAGTTGCAGAGGCCGCGGCCTGGGGCCCCAAAACTGCGAGTATCAAACTCGACCAGGAAGAAGCTGCTAAAGCAAAGGTGGTAGGATAGTACGAAGATGCTGTAAAGATAGAGCAACAGGCAGGCCCTGCTAAGAAGGTTTCAACGCCCCTAACAAGTCTGGGGCTTGTAAAGTCGACAGGGAACGTTCTTGATGCAACAAGAAGTGGGGGGACAACAGGAAACTCCTGCTACTGCTACTGCTACT